TGATTATGAAGCATAAACCTGGTATACCTGAACTTCACTGAGATATTTATATATTTTTAAATGTCCTCAACACCGTCAGGGCATTTCATATTATTGTCCTGAAGTCACCTTTTAAATTCATCTCACATCTTCAGCCACATCACAAATCCTTGAGTTTTCAAGCTGAAGCAGTGCTCCACATACCTCCAAACTCACTTCCCATGAAATTGGGTCCTGTTTGGCTTTTTCTTCCCCTCTTGTGACACTGTAAATGGCGTCTCTGAAGTCTGCCAAGAGAACAGGGGAGGTCCACTCAAAAACAAAGACACTGGTACATGCACAGCTGGCACTCTTTTCCTTCAGGCATTCTTGTGTAAAAATCTCACAGCTAAAGGAATTAAAATACTTTAACTATGAATTATGTGAATTTTGCTGAAGACATGTTTAGTTAACTAATAACTTAATGCTCCAGTTTTATTTTAAATTATACACGATACTTAAACCAACATTGTGTGACTTTTTGTAGGTGGCAAACAGCATGTTTGTTGACAGATGTATAATCCCGCAGAGAGGGAATGCCAAACTGTTATTAAGAACTCCCAGAGCTGTCAATTTGACGGTGTTGGAAGAATAATTACTCATTTTTGCTCTTCATAATTTTGTGACTTTATTTTATATCTGTAAGTAGTTTATATCAATGCAATTACTTAAAAATAAAAGAATCTTTTATTTTTGAAATGTGACCTTTAACTCCCAGATCATTCTATGGAAGTTAAAATCCCCTTACTCCATGGTGCTGGTTCATGAATGGTTTTGGTTCAGCTCATGATCCCACTAGAGCAGGGCCAGTGCTCGTTACCATAGCAACAGACTGTTTACTTGCAGCAGTTAGCATGAGGTAGCCTTTTATTTCACCAAACTGTTTTTGCTGTATTTCATTTTATAATTGTTAGTTTTAGCACTTACACATGATTAAAAGTAAAAACCAAAAAACATTTCAGAATTCTGCTCTGCTCTGGGAGTTCTTGTAGTTTCAGAATTCTGGTGGTGCCAGTGTTTTTTTCCACTGTCAGATCAATTAAGTCTATCTTATGTTAATGAAGAATGTTAATATATTTTACAAGGTCAAGATTGTAGTAGAAGTAGGTTTGTTTATTCGGTCATACAAATTACTATTATTATTATAATTTTTATTTATTTTTACATAACAATGGCATACAAAAATGACAAGGTTACAAATACAATTTAGATTATGTCAATAGTGTACATGCTTTAACATAGATATACAAACGCAATTGTGACCAAAGGGATTAGGCTGAAGTATAACTTATTTTTGCCTCAACCAATTCATAAAACAAAGTCTCCATAGTATGGGGCAAAACCCTTTCAAAATAGATGCCGAAATGGAAAGATATAGCAAATTCATAATTTGAGAAAACAGTTAAAAATATTTTAACATAATTATAATGTTTGTGTGAAGCTTGCATGGTCAACATAACACAAACTAAACACAAACTTACAGTATACTTAATTCCTTCCTTTGTTCATGGGGTGTAATATTTTTATTCTTCCACTATAGATGAATGAAGATTTAAAAGCTATAGCTAAATTCTTAATATTGACAGCTAATATAATCTAATACATCTGAATTATAACAGAACAACAGCTGTTTGAATACAACAATATGTGAATGGAATATCACAGTAGATTTGTTATCACTAATATGCTCAGGATGTCAGCTTTACTTCACTCTCCACGTCAGTGCGATGACCCAGCAGCAGTGAAGTTACTCACTAGTCCTTCCATTCTTCAGGAGGTGGGGCTTTTGTAGAAAACTTATTCTACCCCATTGCACAAAGAGCAGCGTGTATTGCCAGTCCTCTCCTGCTCACTGGGAGAGCACAGCGCCTGCACACACTTCTCCAGTTCCCACTCTATCTGCAACATCTCCCTTTTGCATGACCCTGCATAGCTCCGCTGCCGCACTGACTTTTGGAAGTTTGGTTCTTTGGCCACTTGTTGCGTGGAGACGACGCCAGTAACGCGCTCGCAGTGAATGAAGAGAGCCAAGGTGTGCTCTGGAAACTTTTGTCATCATGACCACGCGAGCGATAAACTTGGATACATACAGCCTGTCACTGCTTACGGCTAAAGAAGACATCATCAACCCACGGTCATCCATTAACTGGTAAAACATCACATCCAAAAGCCTTTTTCCATCTTTACGCGCAGCCATACTCTTTACGTTATTGCTCATTGATTGTCTTCCATGTGCGATTTCAACTTTTTCAACTAATTTCTAACTATCGTGAATAAGAGGCAGTAGATTTTGAAGTATTAAAAACGATGTCACCCACATGTTGACAGTGTTTTACGCGCATCACGCTTCTGGTGCGTCTCTGAACGGCTGTTACCAAAACCACGCACGCTTACAAACTTGGTCATTGTATTTCTGCGTGATCATGTTTCTACTGCTGAGCTGATCATCTTTCACGGACCAGCTCTTTAATTGGAAAGACAGACAGTGTTCATGGCACCTTCAATAATCATGATTAAAAGCATACATGACCTGTAAGCCTTCTTACGTTTGTCTGCTGGTATATAAAATGAAACATATAAACAAGACAGATTTGAGATTCCCTGATTAGTTTCTGAATGTTTTTGATCTTGTGATATCACTAAACAGTACTATAATATATATTGTTAATTTTGTTTAACATTGCAGCTAAAAAATTCAAACTCTAGATTATCCCCATGAAATTGAAATTGGTATTGAGTGTGTTTCCTCTCATCAGCATCCAGTTTGTAATTTTAGTATTGTGACAACACTAATAGGCTAAAATGAAACCTATTTGCCATGGCTTTACCCCTTTATGCACAAAAGCATGTGCAAAAGGATGTGTCTTTTCAATCCTCTCTATTACAAGTTTTCCCCAGCTTTATGACTCATAGTTAGGGTCCATCTTGCCAAAAAACACATGTGCTCATAACTAATGCATTTCTCCATCTCTCCTGTCTTTCCTTTCTTTGCTTGCAACACAACAATCACCTTTACAGCTCAACATGGAATTCTTGTATTCAATCATTTAGCTTTTGGCCACTGTCAAACCACAGATTTGATGTCCAAACTCAAATGTATTGAGATCAGGGCATAACTTTTAGTAATGTCAGGGAAAAAGGGAAAAGAAGTGGCCTACTTTTGGGCTTGTTTGAGGGGCTATGATGTCATGGCTTTGTCCAACAGCTGAGCAAGACAGATGTGCTGTGGCGTTTGTCTGCGTGTGTCAATATACATTTTACATTGTGATCGCATCTAAGTTTGTGTTTATCTGATGGGGGTGCATGTTTGGCCCAGCAGTTCCACCCCCACTGGCCTTCAGGTCCCTGCGTATATTATCTAATGACCTTGTGGGCTGAATGGGAAACAGACATTTGTGAGCAGACTTTGAAGACGAGAGAAATAGCCTCAATGCTTCCCCCTCAGTTTATGGCCAACATCAGGTCTTCAGGGGAGACTTTTAACACCTAACAACTGGATCTCTTCAGGTTGTGCAGACATTCCGTCACATAGTTTCTATTTCTGTGCCATAAAATGTCTTTGTTTGGCTTTGTTCTGTAAATTTGCGCAGGGCCACCGAAGTAGTTAACAATGGTTTGAACAGTTTTACAAAGCATCAGCTATCTGGTAAATGCTCTGGCTTTGGTCCTGGTCGCAGGAGTCATGGGAGTTTGAGGGTAAGTCTTTTATCCTCACACACGGACTGTTTAACTTTGTCACAAGGAACCAGTGATTATGTGGAAAATACATAAACAAAACATAATGGGTGTTTAGGAGTTTGTGAGCGAGCATGCTGCCCCTGGATGTTAGCTATCAAAAGAGAAGACCAGGTCAATAAGTACAGTATGGCTTTTTATTGTAAATGAAACAAAAAATGAATGAGAAAAAAAGCTATTTGATGATATCTTACGCAATAGAGTAGAAATATGTAAAAAACAGAACTGAATAGAAATATCAAGACAAGAGACTGCTTTTAATTGCTTGGGAACATTTCTGTGTTGAAACATGACAAGCAAGATTTGGGCAGTATGGTGGCTGAGTGGTTAGCACTCTTCTCGTTTCTGTGTAGATTTCCTCCGGGTGCTCCTGTTTCTTCTACCACTAAAAACACGTACTATATGTAAAGTCCTCTTGCTCTGGTGGTCCTGACCCAGGCAAACATCAACATCTGGAGATGGGTGCCCAGGGGGTGTACCACAGCACCCACGGGTCCTGACGGTGGATTCAGGATGGGTCAAATGCAGAGGACACATTTCCTACGTGAACAATAAAGTGTAATTTAACTCAAGTAAGGAGTCACTCAAAAATAAAAGAGAGCTCTGAACAAATAGTTGTTGAAAAATGTTGAAATAGTTTAAAATCAAAACAAATCTGTAGATAAAGATTAGATATATTTATGGATTTTTTTAGCTAAAGCAAATAATTGGTTTGCAAAAGATGAATGTTGGCAACTATTATGCTATGAAAGATACTGCGTGTGTGTGTGTATGCATGTGGCACATTAAAGTAACTAAAGTGAGCTGTCACCAAACACATTATATCACAAAATTGCGCATTACTACGTGGGAAAGTCAGGATTGTTCCTTGTACAGTCTGACTGCAGCAGGATAGAACGAGCTACAGAACACATACTTAAGTTAATGTAGTTACAATAATATGGTTGTGATTATAACACCCAGAGTTTGTGGTGGGAGATGAATTTTCGGATGCCCTGAGGTGGTTGATTTGCTTCTACTTGCAGACTGGGAGCAAGCTCATGCATGATTAAGTAAAAGACTCAGGAGCTGGGCTATAGTTACACGGGAGAGGCCGGACCACTGTCACACATCACCTTTGTGCACGACTTTAACAGTTTGGATGAGAACTATAATACTGTTATACTAAGGTATCGATTTTTCTGATAAATGTGCAATCTTGATTAGATTTGCAATGACATGCTGGATTCCGCCGCAGGAATGTTGGCTTTTTGAAAAGGGAAAATTATTTGTCAAACCATCAACACAATCATAATTTCAGGTATTCCAATGTGGTTTTACTTCAAATGGCAAATAATACGAATCTATACTGTAAGAAATTATTTATCTACTGACTAGTATTCTTCTGAAGATAATGGGCAATTTCCTATTTTGCCTGTAACAAATTGCAATTACTGTTAGGTGGCAGTTAATCTTCTTATCTAATCCTCTGTCATTTTTTGTCAAAATGAGAGAACCTTGAACTTCTGCTTTAGCTCCACAATGACTTACTTCACCGTTTGTAACAGGATTTAACCTGATTAGTGAACACATTTTACATTAAAATATTATAACCACCTCTTGCAATTCTGCAAGATCCTGATTTTAAAGGACTGAGAAGGTGTGTGGGTGGCATTGAAGAATATGATGACAGTGATAGTGTAATAGTTGTTATACCTAGATTTGTTTAGGTGAACCCCAGCACACAAAAGCACCACTTACTGTTTAGCTAAACATTGTTTGGTTTCAGATGGGCTTAGACTAAAGCACTCTGTTAACAGTTGGTAATTTGGCAGGATGAGACATGACTGATTATGATTATGTATTTGCTGTAGACTTTTATAAGGACTGGGTTATAATATATGAGAAAACAATTCATATTCAATCTGGAGAGACTCAACAGATAAAGGACTTATCAGAATTGAATTTATTGCATAAATTAGCACACACAACTCTGAAGACATGGTATGCAATGATAATATTTATTGCATGCTGTAAATTAAACGTGGTTATGATTCGGCAATTAGACCCAACAGGACATTGCATGACAAATGCAGAGGGGAAATAAAAAAAGATTATTAAATGAAATCCTTAATGGCCTAAACCTTGGGGGTTATAACTAAGAGTGTGATGGGGAGGAGGAGGTTTGCTGCGTGATATGGAAGCTATACAATGAAGGGTAGTGTTATAAGGTGAGAGATGATTGGCAGCGCAGAACCTGCAAGCTGAGTGAGATTGACTTGTTGCTGGGGCGGTCACAGTAACATTGGGAGGACTAAAAACAGTGAACAGTCTTCCAGTCAGAACCTCTGCTTTAGCTCAATTTTATTATTAGGGTTGGCCAATATAACCCAAAAATCATACCTAGATTTTTCTGCCAGCACGTATTTCTGCTAAAAAATGATTACCACAATGTGGAAGCCCCCTCACTCAACAGCACACATCCAAGACGTACAGAAAGGCACAATCAATCTGTCATGCCATACAATATAAACTTAAATCAAGATTTATTTGAGTTTTCATTCTTAAATGTGCAGATTATGTAAAATTTTGTTGCGTTTAGTTTAGTTTAGTTTATTTATTTGATCAGGGACAATGCACAAACAACATTAGTCTAAAAAAGAAGAGATGTCATGTGCCAGGTTATAGCAAAAATGCTAATTTCCACCCGCAGTTTATTTCAGTTTGTTTAATGTGATGAAAATGCCACCTGCCTATTATTCATTTTACATTATGTAAATGTTCAGCTCAACATGTGATGCCTTTCTACAGAGATACAATGGCCAACCTCCAGATACAGACCAAATAGTTTCCAGTGCAACTCAGCATCTGTGTGCCCACAATAGTGGACTAAATACAAAGCAGTTTCTTGTGTTTCTGGAAACTTTGTGTTACAATCAGATGATATTTCTGGAAAAAATAAAGCAAAAGACTGCCTGAGTGGCTCATCATCAGGTTGTGACTTCAGCTCTGACTCTGAGCATGCACAGCACACACATATGTGATGTATTGCCTTTAACAAACAGTTGTACAGGGCTTCTTCATGTTCTTGGGGTTAGAAAATGCTCTGTTTGGACTGTGGGAGTTGAAGCTGAAGGGAGACAGTGTGTTCTCTGCTTCGCTGCCAGCTCCCTCACAGCTGCCTCATTATTAAAGAATTAACTCAAATCTGCTCAGTACAACAAATGAGGGCCATCAGGGAAAAAAATGTCCTTTTAAAACTTTAAAAGGATATCAGCATTTTATAACTGAGTATGATTTAGTCCCTACAAAAAGTAATCACATCTTTCAGGACGCCAAATGCTTTACATTTCATTATTCATTCATTGAATAAGGAGCACAGGGACTGGCCTCCTGCTGGTGCCTAGGGTCAGGACTGGACATGGGGAGGCGGCA